CTGCCTCCCGCTGCAGGCAAGAGAGAGCCTGCCTCTCTGGGTGTGGGAGGATCCCGCCTCGTAGTCCACAGCAGGTCAGACCACCAACGTGCACCACAGGCTCTGTAAGCATCACCAACAGCGCGGTACGGCCATATAGTGTGCGAGGCTACGTGTCTAAGAAGCCTCGTCTTATGAGAGCTGTGATACATCCATGTATTCTTTTAGGTGGAGGACAGTCAGGCGATAGGAGTTACAGAAGAGGAAGGGAGGAGAGAAGGAGAAAGAAATGTCTGAACTGGCAAAGGGTTCTGGCAGTGCCGAGAGCAAGAGCTGTGGTGAGTCCCAGTCCCTCCCTGCCCCTCTCCTGGTCCTTTTTTTCCCAAGCTGCTGTGATATTTTTTTTTTTTTTTTCGCTTCCCTGTACCTCTCCTCTTCTGCCTATTCTCTTGTCCCGCTCCTTCTTCCTCTCTCCCTTTATTTGTTGTTTGACTGCTCCCTTTTTTTTTTTTTCTCTCTCTCTGGGTTCTTGTCCTGCTCCCTCTCCCTCCTTTTTTTCCATCCTCTGTCTCTCTCCTGCAGCCCATAGGTGTGGTTTTTTCCTTTTCCATCTGTCCTGGTTTCAGCTGGGATAGTTAATTGTCTTCCTAGAAGCTGGTATAGTGCTATGTTTTTGAGTTTGGTATGAGAACAATGTTGATGACACACTGATGTTTTCAGTTGTTGCTAAGTAATGTTTAGTCTAAAGTCAAGGATTTTTCATCTTCTGATGCCCAGCCAACAAGAAGGCTGGAGGGGCACAAGAGGTTGGGAGGGGGGACAGGCAGGGCAGCTGACCCAAAGTGGCCAACAGGGTATCCCATACCATGTGACATCCTGCCCAGTATATAAACTGGGGGGGAGTGGGGCCGGGGGAATCGCCGCTCAGGGGCTAACTGGGCGTCGGTTGGTGGGTGGTGAGCAATCGCATTGTGCATCACTTGTATATTCCAATCCTTTTATTATTACTATTGTCATTTTATTAGTGTTATCATTATTAGTTTCTTCTCTTCTGTTCTATTAAACCATTCTTATCTCAACCCACAAGTTTTACTTCTTTTTCCTGATTCTAGCCCCCATCCCGCGGGGTGCGGGGGAGTGAGTGAGCAGCTGTGTGGTACTTAGTTGCTGGCTGGGGTTAAACCACGACACCATCTGTTTGTCCTGATCTGCATCCGTCTCTTTTTTCCCCACAATTTCTCTGGCCTGTTCTTTGGCATTCTTTTCCTCTCTATGCCTGTACATGCTGCTCTGTCCCTGCCTTCCTATCTCTGTCTCCTTCCTTCTTTTTTTCTCTTTGTCCCTTTGTCTTGCTCACTGTTGCTGGGTTTTTTTGTTTGTTTGGTTGGTTGGGTTTTTTTAATTTATTTTGTATTTCACTGTCCCTGTCCTCCTTCCTGTTCATCTCTTACTCTCTGTGACCCTTTGTGCTGCTTCCTGCCCCTTTTTTATTCACCCTCGCTCTCTCTGCAGGGCTCCTAATATCCGTCTCTCTTTCTCCAACCCCCTATGGTTCTCACGGTCTCTGTCTTTCTCTGTCTCTTGTCATTATTCTTGTCTGTCGCTCTGTCTTGCTTCCTGTCCCGTCGTTTCTTGCTGTGTCCCTTTGTCCTGCTCCCTGCCCATATTCATATTCCTCTCTGTCCTGTTGACCATCCCAGTTTTTTATCTCCGTCCTGTCGCTGTCCTGATTCTTCTTTCTCTGCCCAGGTCCCTGCCCCTCCTCCTGTCTCTTTTCCTCTGTCCCTGCTGC